GGGACTGGTATTTTCCAGAAAACTGTTGCTAGGATGTTTTTCCACTATTGGGCTAATCAAACATAGCCGAATCCAAGATGTACAGGCACTGAAGCTGAATAATCACAGTTGGACGGGTGGTTTTCTGCGTTGAAAGATGGTGTGTAGTGATCGGAAACTCAAATAGGGAAGACTTATTTATTATTTAATGCAAAGCTACAAAAATCTTTCGTCAAATGTGAAGAACACATATTAAATTTCTTCATTTGCAAATCTTCCATCAATTGTCCTTTAAATCTTTCATGACTTTGTCACTCCTCAATTCCTTTTTATCTTTCTGTTTTGTACAGTTCAGTCTTCTCAAACTTCTTTTGACGGGCAATACACTTCTGACCGGTGTTCCGTACTACTTACGTCTGCCGACATAAGTAGTATGAGTCATAGGGTCATATTATTTACTTAATTACACCTGTTACCCTTCGTGGAGGAGCATAGACCGCCTATCAGCATTTTCCATCGAACTCTGTCCTAGGTAATCCTTTTCAGTTGTTATTGGGTAGGTGTTAAGAGGCTTACCAAGGGAGCAATATGTTTCAGTACGGAATTCACTTAAACGTGAATTCTACTGGGAGTAAATAAAGTGAAGTTGATCTGAGTGAAAAAAAAACTAAGTTAGCTATTGTTGGGGTGATCCAGAAAATTACTTGCAAAAGACAAGCAAGTATCAGGAAACACTAAGAAGCGTTTCATCCAATCAGCGTTCACTTGAAGTCTTAGCCAAAAATATCAAGGAAACGAAACGTCACATGCAGAGGTTCTGATTGGGTGATTGCTACACTGCTACTATGTTTAGTAGCATTCCAGAATCTTCATCAGCCCAAGGACATTTAAAATATTATTAAAGTTCTGTGTTTTCTGCATTGAAAGGAACCTTGGAGTAAACTACTCTCATACTTTGAGTCTTCTCTCTCGTGTTCAGGCCGCTGTATAGTTCTAGCTTAGGGGTTAACGAACAGCTTAGGAGATGAATATAGCGTTCAATCCGCAAGACTTATCAACTATCTAGTTGGTAAAATCATGTCTTAAATAAGATTCATTGCTTTTTGCCTAAAACTGAATTTATTTCGGGTCAGACAGTGTGTTTAGTTGAAAGGTAATCGTTTGATTGGTTGGTAACATTATTCTTCTTTCCCTATCATTTCTATGGAAAATATCATCACCCATTGTTATAGGCAATGTGACCGTTTAATCATGTTCTATCATGCGTTGAATTCTACACAAAGGCTCATATCATTTCCTGCAATTCATCCATTTTGGTTTACTGATTTGTCATATATTTATCCTTCAATAGTACTCTCACTGTTATGAGATGGTGGAGAAGATTTGTAGCTCAGGTGGATGATTTTGGTGGTGTTTTGTTCTCTGAGCTGGATGGTTTGGTCGTGGAGCTGATGATGTCGTTCAGAAGAACGATGAAAGCTCCACGACCAAACCATCCAGCTCAGAGAACAAAACACCACCAAAAACTCTCACTGTTAATTTGTTCACTGTATATTACTAAACGTCACATGAAAAATGCCATGAATTCGTCCAATTAGCTTGTGTGGAAGATGAATTTTTCATGTAACCATTTTATTGTATAGAGATTATCCTGATAAATCAGTTTCCTCTTTTGATTTTGCTTATTGTTTGCTCAACTTTGTTGTATTTTACTCGACACTACTTTTTAGTTTGCAGTAGTTTGATTTATTTTCAACCACTTGCATACATACGACTAATGGATTCTTTCACAATGGGCCACTTGTGCCATTCATCTACAATCTAAGCCCAGAGAACGAAACTTCACGATAATTATCCACATGAGCTGCAAATCGTCTCCACCATCTCAAAATTCATTTGTACTTTTATTTCAATATTCATTCCTACTCTTGACTGAAGCACTTTCCAAAGGTTTTTCATGTGTACACCGCTACTATATTAGGGTCCATACTTGATGTTGTAATTCGATTCCAAATGCATTATTTGAAAGATATAGTGTCTATTTGATTGTGCTTTCGATGGTGTGATCCAGAATTGGACACTAAACAACAAGTAGTAACATATTCTTCTCCAAATCTTGTAACTTTGGTTTCGCTAAAATTCCCATATCACATGGAGATTGAGGTTAACTGCTCGACTAGATTTAATATATTAAAATGATTCAAATTCCTTGATAATAATTTTCACACTAATAATACTATTATATTACCGGTCTGCGTCAACACCTGAACTAAGGATAGGGAGTGAAGTGGTCGAACGCGTTGACATCTTCACTTATCTTTTAAGTCTGATCAGCCCTAATGGGTTGGTATCTGACGAAATTTCAGCACGGATTCGAAAAGCTCGCTTGGCTTTTGCCAACTTACGTCACCTTTGGCGAAGGCGAGATATCCGTCTATCAATAAAAGACGAGTATACTGTGCGGCAGTCCGTTCTGTTTTAATTTACGGCAGCGAAACATGGCCATTAAGAGTAGAAGATATTCTCAATTTACTAGTATTTGACCACATATGCCTTAGAAATATTGCTGGCGTCTGCTGGGATCACCGGGTAAGTAATAGTGAGGTTAGATGCAGGGTATTAGGGAATGATGGTAAATCAGTTGATGAGGTTGTGAATCTTCATCGACTGAGATGGTTGGGCTACGTGTTACATATGCCTGAACACCGATTACCACGACGTGTAGTGCTAACCGGTGCTGGAGATAGTTGGAAGAAAGTTAGGAGCAGCCAAATCAAAACGTAGCACCAACCCATGAAGTCACTAACTTCTAGTCTGAGCCATATTGGGAGATGCAGACTACTTGGTTGGGGTCCGCGTGACTACTGTAACCAATGGTTGGAGACTCTTTATTGACATGGCTCAGAATCGATCACAGTGGTGTCGGTGTGTACTTTCTCTGTCTTCCCTTAAACGAAGAGATTAAATCACTTCATATCTTTATTTCTACGTACTAAATCTTTCTTCCTGTACTATATCGATATTGCAATCTGATATATTTCTGCCACTGAGTTAACTGCTTCTATGAATTCAGTGTTCATCTTGTTGTGTTTATGAGGTATGGCAACGTGGTCCAATGCATATATGTGCCTGGTCCTACTGTGTAGCTGACTGACTTTTATTTTCGAGTACATTTTCTGCCAGGAATAAATACTTCGTTGTTCTTTCTTATGATATCCCTAATAACTACTTGCCAAGTAAAACTTAATCAGCACTGTGGAGTTGGTCAAGGATTATGATAAATTCGAAGTGTAATTAATATTGAAAAAAGACAGCATTAGGTATATCTATTTTGTTTGTGGATGGAATGAGCTTACAAAAATTAGGGTAACTGCATGACAAGTTAGAAACCTTGAGTTCACTCACAAAAGTAATTGTTGGGGAAATCCAAATTATTCGTCGAAGAATTACACAGGGATCCTGAAAACTCTGGGAAACATTTTATCTAATCAACATTGAGTAGACGTTTCTCAGAAACATGTAGCAAGTGAAGAGTCACATGTTATATTTCTGATTGGATGATTACCTATTCTGCTATGTTTAGTATGATTCCATAAACTCGCAGAACCCCGAGGCCATCTGAAATGCTAAAAATACGTTCAATTTTCTGTACATAAACTAAACTTTTGTAAGGCAATCTTTTCATACTTTGCGCTCTTCTCTTGTGTTCACGTTGTAGAGATGTAGCCTGGGGTTATCAGAAGAGATTAGGGAACCGATTTACACTTTCAGTCAGAAGATTTACCTGTAAATTTTTATTGAAAAATATCACTCGAAGTATTACTTTATATGATCAATCACTGAGCACTTTCATAATCCCAAATATTACGTCCATGTATCATTATACTTAATAATTTAATAGTTGAATTAATGAGTCAATTGAAGCTAGCCCACCATCATAAACCTGGAAAGACCAAACGGCTGTTTCGTCCTATTACAGGACTCCTCAGCAGTACGCAACCTTGATCCTGCCTCGCGCTTAATCACTAGACCACTGAACCAGAAACCATCAATGTTAATGTCTAACTTCAACCAATCCACAGAGTTGCGCCATTGTCCACCATAGTCATCAGTGATAATCATTTATTCATTTGGAACAACTCACATAAAAAAAACTGATTCATACTGAAGGATACAGCTAGTTGTCTTTTAGAATAATTAGTAATAATCTGATGTTACCTTATTTGTAAATCACATCAACATACCAAATCGTTCAAATTAGTTTATTGGCATTGTATCATACTACTACTACTACTTGTATGATGTGATTATAATCGATCAAAATGTAGATGTAAATTAGAGTACATAATTCAAAGTGAATTCTTATAAAATTTCTAAAGAATATCTCCATTCAATATAGACAGTTGTAAAGGCATCTTACTCTCTTAATTAAGCCATAATCTAATTAATTATTTAACATTCTAACCGTTGATTATTTTAAGTCGATGAATCGAGTATATGGATTCTATTCCTTAAAAGGTAATAGTAAGATTTTGAATATTCGCATATCAGAGAAGGGTTTTGTAGAGATTATAGTGATTTAGTATATGAATTCATGAGTCATTTGAAGCTAGGCCATCATGGAAAACCTGAAAGCACTGGACGGCCATTTCGTCTTATTAAAAGACTCCACAGCAGTACACATCCACGACCCCGCCTCACGAGATTCGAAACCAGGACCTATCAGACCACTTAGCCGGCATCCAATGGTGTTAATGTCTAACTCTAACCAATCCACGAAGTTGCACCACCATCCATCATTATTATCAGTATACTATTGATAAATTTCGGATTTGAATCTTGAGAGTCGGAATTGTGGATATGCATTGCTGAGAAGTCCCATACTAGAACAAAACAACCATCCAGTGCTTCTAAATTTTCCACGATGATCTAGCTTCAATGAACACAAATTCAATTATTAAAATTGCTACAATCTCCACAAAACCCTTCTCTTATTATAAAACTTGTGATGTTAGATATGTGAAAAATATTAAATTCAAGTTATATACATTCATTGAACTCTACAATAGATTAGACCAAATGTTAAACGTTTCACAATGAGATTTTACATTACACCATTGTATATGTATATATAGATAATAAAAGATTACACTTAAAGTAAAGCTGTACTCAATCCATGTCTGTTGAATTGAAAATTTAAAAAAAAGTACTTTCCCAGGAATGATTGGTCTCCTAGACATTTGTAATTTTAACTGATCATCCTATGTGCTCCTAAAATAGAATAATAATACAAAAAAAAGGGGAATACAAAGGAGATTTTTTAAAACATACACACACAAACACACCTAAAATTAATCAATACATGAAGTTTCATTTACTATAATCACATTATCATTCTTCATTATTTAGTTGAATAGAAGATGATAAAAGGAGGTTTATAGTTGCTTACTGGATTCATAAGTTAGTAATTAAAATGAAATGTAACTAACCGAAATTTATTGGATCAGATATATCATGTGGTTATAAATATGTTTTGGTTTTGATGAAGTTTTGTTCTCTTAGCTCGATGGTTTAATTGTGGAGTTTTCATCATTTTCGTCTCTTGTATATTATCAAACCAATAAGTATTCACAATTGATTGATCACTGGGTGGTGATCAATATCATGTGTGAGCACCAGTTCCCTCAAGATTACAGGTACACCTTGCTGACGAGTGTCAAGTAGCATGAAACCCGGGTCCAGGGTTTCCTGTCGACTACCTCCAACCACCATCTAATCAATAAGTATCTATGTTTACAAGTCAAACCACTGTGTCTGAAAAATATTTATGCTAATCTTTAATCTACTATTATCATTGATGTTGTAGTGTCGGTTACTACAGCTTCTGGACAGGTCAATCTATTCATTCCACTTAAGTCACATTTTGACCTTGTTAATTACTTGCATATCAACCTTGACCGTTTTTATATAAGTGTATATGTGTGTGCCCTTCTTATCGTATTCATCACATGTCTCTGACTTATTTTTATATGGCTATAAATATTGATTACCGCTTGATTTAATGGAGTTGGTTCACATGACTACTCCACCGCGCGTCATTTCGCTCCGCTCTTTTCTCTTGGCTTCCCAGATTTTTTGTCTGGATCCACGATTGTATGAAATATACAATCAATATAACAATTATTCATATGATATTACTAGAGTCAGATAAAGGGTCACAAAAATTGGTGAGCCTATCGACAACATCATCCGATATAAATGTTGTCTGAATAAAGGGCTCTACAATGTAGACTAATGCAGAACGGACTAAAACTGAACTTATGTTTTGTTTTATTTTCAGTTCTAATTCTCTTTTGTTGTTGTTATATTGGTACATAGTTTTAATATTTGTTAGTTTGCTCTTAGTGAACAATGGGTTCGATTCCCAGAGTGAACATTAAATCTGAGATGCAGGTACATCCAGCTGACGAGTTCAAAATAGGACTAAACGTGCGTTCTAGATTTTACTACTAGCCACCATTCATCTTTACTTATAAAGCTTGTGACCTAAGGCAATATAGAGGCAGTCCGCACACGATGCATGTATGCCAATAACAGATTGATCAATTGCAGTCCTAAACATCAATGAGAAGATACAAGCAAACGATACCAAGTGAACAGTTCTAATATTTGACACTTTTTTTCAAAAAAAATGGTTTGTTAATTCTCTTATTTAATATCATGCAATCTGTTAACTCATGATCTGCACATTTCAATTACCTTATTCATAATCAATTTAAATTTTGTGTTTGTAAAACAATTTAGTTCAGTGACGAAATCATTCACATAATGAGTTCATTCCCCCCAAATCCCTTGGTACGGACGAGAATGGGGAGAGTTCGTTCTCCCACTAGAAATACTCTCACATGGCCACGAATATACAGCCACTACCAGGGAAGTCCTACTCACTACCTTTTCACGGTCGGGATGTCGTTTACGAAATCGAGAGGATGAAAAGCAAATGTCCGGCGCTTTAACCGGGTTGGTAGATATGGAAGATTCACCTAGATGAGTTGAAAAACCCAACGGTGGACATGGGCTCCAAGATCCTGAAGGAACAAATGGAGTATGAACCAATTATTGGTCATCGGCTACAAGGGGACTGCATCTCCTTACGTTGCTCCACTGTCTTGTGAACTAGACCTTGAAGTTAAAGGCTTCGGGTGTAGCCCCTTAAGAAACTCACCTGCTTCATCTGAGCACCCCGGCAGTATCACAACCCACACAAAAATCAAGTGACTTATGTGCCTCTTTGTAGCAATATTTATGTGTTCAAACAAAGTAAATAAATGACGTCGATGAATATGATTACGTATAAGTCAAGTAATAATTTAATATCTATAAGAATTTGATTAGTTATTTTATGAAATTTAACTACCTAATTTAAATTATTCAGTATTATGTTCACAATCATCTGGGAAATCGTAATGACATTTGATACAGCCATTTGAATTATCATGATGGACATTCCAATCAGAAGCGTCAGAGGGACTTCAAGGTCACGGTGCCAATTTCATTACCAGATGCTCATGTACAATCGGTTCACAGAAAATTATAGAGGAAACGTTATAACTGAGCGGTTACAAGAAATGAGACTACTGAGAACTTCCTTTATATGTGATTGTGGTAATCAAATGACTTGTAGACTTTGTGCAGACTACCTTAGTGATGTTGTCTTTCTATGTAATATGTGTTGGAGGAAGAAGTCTGTTAGAATAGGATTTTTTTCGCTCGATCCAGACTGACACTGACAAACTATGACTGGATAAAGTAAACTGGATAAGAAAGCATCAGTAACACTGGCTAGAGTCAGGTACTACAATATATACAGATGATTGGAGAGCATACAGATGCCTATATACACGTAGTTATGTGCATCGTGTCGTTATGCACAAGCAGCATTTTGTAGACCCAACAACCGGAGTGAACACAAACAATATTGGAGCTATATGGTCGGGGCTGAAATGGTTTTTGACACGTTGTCATGACTCCAGAGGCCGACTATTATGAAGCCATATGGATGATTTCCTCTATCGTATGCGTTACGATTTTCGAACCTCTGAACCTCTTTCTAACCTTGACAAGTTTTTGAACCATGTAGAATAAGTGTGTCCACTTTAATTCTTTGATTTTGTATATATGTTTACTTTATCTAACTGTTTTCTGATTGGCTAATATTTCTCAAGGTCACTACAGATTCGTTCAAAGGTCGTTCATAAATTAGAGTCTCGTCGAAAAACCTTCCAACTCAGAGAACAAAACTCCATTAAAATCATCCAGCTGAGTTATAAATCTTCTTTACCATCTTAGAACTATCTTGGCATACATAGAAATTTGATCAGATTATTCGAAAATAATAGTACTCATGTTGATAAGATTCTTATAGATCAACTTACGTGTTCTATATAAGAATAGTGGAAAAGCAATGCATAAAACTGTAGCTATCAATAGAAATGGTAATAAAAGTGAGATAGTGAAACGACGCATCACCAAATCAACATCAACATTTCGACCAGATTGTAATAATTGTTGTTCATAACTGATTAATGAAAATGTATTTGGTAATAATGGATTGTTTATAGTTTGTTCTGTTATTACCTCTGTAGAATATGTACTTTCATTGTTGGAGACTTCTATACTCTTGTTGATTGGTTTATTCGAATTCATATCAGATGGTTCAGTATGGTATAAACAAGCAAAACAAAATAATGATTGTTTATTATTATTATTATTATTATTATTGTTAGTGTTAGTATTATTACTATTGGACTTACTAAGTTAGTAAACATCTTAACATATGATATGAATGAGTAGTTATGTCTTAATATATTAGGCCAACTTTGTCGATTACTGATAGGTCCTGGGTTCAAATCCCGCGAGGTGGGGTCGTATAATGCGTACTGCTGAGGAGTTTCACAGTAGGACGAAACGGCCATACAGTGTTTCCAGGTTTCCCATGATGGTCTAACTCCAATTGACTCATGATTTCAACTATTGAAATTACTACAATCACCACAAAAACCCTTTCTGATACTGATTACTTGATCTATAAAAAATTCCATCCTATTTTAGGTGCTTGAATAAATTAATTTACAATCTTCAAACATTTTGGTAAACGTTAGTTTGATTTTAATACGTGAGTACTGTGGAAACATACATGTATATATATATATATGTCAGCTAACCAGGTTTAATTAATTATTGTTTTTACATTTTTTACAATGCAATCATCAAAAGTAGTTATCATTGTATGTTATGAACGAGCAATGATTTTGATAGAGTTTTGTTCTTTGAGTTGGATGGTTTGGTCGTGGAGCTTTCATCGTTCTTCTGGAAGACATCATCAGCACAAACTTCAAATAGAAGTGAAGTGTTCGAATTTTTCCATATGCGTTACACAGCTTGTTCTGTACACCTCGACTCCATCAAAATCATCCACCTGAGCTACAAATCTTCCGCACCATCTCACGAACTATGATAAATAGACTATCTAGACATTCAACGGAGATTTCTAATATTGGAGTTTTGATTGTGATTTTCTTAATTTCTTATTTGAATTTCTTAGTTCATCGTAGTTTGAAGGAAATACCAGATCTTACAAGTGGTCAGATCTCCGCTTAAGGTTTAGTTAATGTTCTATTTAAATAATGATTCATAATTACTATGATATTTTTCGAGATAACTTTCGAATCCTGTTTGATTAAGTACATATTATACAATTTAATTCAATAACAATTGAAAGCATTGCGTATTACTGTTAAAGTGTGTAGGAGTAGGTTGAAAGAAAGCAATGGGCGGCCAGACTAAAACATGGCACAAATCCATGAAGTCACTGACAAGTGAACTGAGTGAACCATGTTGCAAGGTGTAGATTACCTGGTTGGGATCCGCGAGATGATAGCGACCGATGGTTAGAGATCTTGAATGACATGGCTCAGAATCATTTGCAATCGAGCAGTTGCATCCACTCTTTGTGTTCTCCCAAATTCTAATCTTCTGAATTCTTCATGCCCGTTTCCTTTTTCTATTTTCAAATTTACTTCACTGGATCATACTCATTGAATAACATCTTCAAACCCTAATGTTTCCGATTACTGCTTATACTTTTACTACCTCTACCACTACAGGATTTGAATTGACAATTGTATCGCTGTGTTAATGTGGTATAGTAACTCGAACTGATGTACGTACGTACGAAGTTCTACGTTGTTGATACTGACTGACTGACTTTTAAAGTATCATCATCAACTGTTATTAAAACATACATCTTTGTTGAGTGAGTCACTAAGTTTGTGATAAAACTGTGAGGTATAGGTGATAAATAAAAATTTGTCATAAATTCAAACACCTTACTACTTTCATTAACAAACACATGTAACTCATAAGCATAAAATAGTACAAATGGTCATTCTTAATTCATTCAACTTGACACACATTTAATATATAAATCTAAATTTATTCTACAATGATTGGAAAGTGCACACAGCTCGATAAAACAAGAAATTGAATTGATTGATCTTACGGCACCTCACATGAAATTGAGTTTGTTCTCATTTAATTCAGTCAAGCCTTTTTGTTAACTTATTTGATGGAGAAAGTCATCCGTACTATAACAACTTATTGTGCCTTTATTATTATTGTGCTTGTATGAAATATGTATGCTTGAACATTGTTTATCGCCTACGCGTATATTCACTCAGCTAGCTTTATCATTAGCTGCTTAATTCATTCGATGATCCATTCATTTCCCTATGTATATACATGTACATTTACCACTCTTTACTCTCGGTTCGCTGACTCATTCATTTGCCTCTCGGCTATGTAATCTGAGTTATCTGCCAATAAAACTGTAGTCGCTGCTTCTCTTTGCCTTCTGATTTCAAACACCGTTAAGGATTATATGGTAATGGTTACGAGGGTGATTGCTTAACGAAGCACAGCCACTACAATCTCTTTCTTAACTGTTATACTACAAGTGATATCTTTGATTTGTTTTAGATTAATTAAGTAGTTGGTAGCCTAATTAGATATATGATCTGAAATATGACAATTTTCAAGATAGTTTAATAAAACTATAAGTTGCTTACTTTTACATTACAGCCAATAATTGGGCACTTCGTATTTTGAATATCTTGACAAACAACATCACTCATGATGTTAACTGAGGTGTTCTTGTAATGAATCATGTTTCCAGGAATGTTTTCAACATAATCTATTCCATCACAGACTTCAGTAATGAAAAAAAGAAATTATTATAGTTTCATTATGACACTGATACATTCATGATGAAGTACTAACCAGAAAGAAAAGTTATGAATATGAAGGGATTTTGGTATTATTGAAATGCTTTTTCGTATATCCCAACCTAGTTGTTGTTTATGGTTAGGGTCCCATACCAAGATGAAACGCCCATCCAGTACTTTCAGGTTTCACCATATTAAGCCAAGCCCCCTACTTATTAGTCATCCCCATTCTGAGATCTATCATCTCTTCTAAAGTACAGGTTGACATACTACGGAATGAGGAGAAGAATGTGGAGAAGATGAAGAAAAAAACGTGGAATAACAAATTATTTGACTATTCTTACTTCTGAGGACTTCTAACAAGTATTCAGGAAGTAATGAGTATTTAAAAGAAAGTTTTTTATCACAACAGTTTGGATATTCACTGGAAATAATGGTATGATGACGGTTGAAGATGGAGATGAATTATGATTTTAATTACTTTATTTCGATGGAGTTTCGTTCTCTGAGCTGGATGGTTTGGTCGTGGAGCTTTCTTCATTCTTCTGAACGACATCATCAGCATAAACTCCAGATAGAAATCTCCACCATCTCAAAATCATATGAGCATAGTACGCGTCTCATTGTTCGAAAATGGGAGAATTTCGCCAAGAGGCAGGCTTCCACTCGAGAACAACTGTATTTTCTCCATGAGTGTCTTCGTATGCACGTTCTACCAACAAGTGTAAGAAACAGATCTCCAATCAACTGCCCATTCAGATGCAGAATAAATGAGCAAAGTGGAAGAAAAACGGTACACCTAATGATAACAGATGCACATTATAGGACCTGCAAATACCAACACGTCATAGAGGACCGAAAGATGAAGCTACAAACGACACTCACATCAAAACATTTTGAAATCTTGACAACAGCCATTGAAATATTAATTACTATAAGATAAAATCCAACCTAATCATTTACTTTGACAAGAATAAGAAATCAACGTTAGTAATGATGTTAACATTTAATTTATGTAAACCATAAATTTGATGAATAAGGTTTAATGTGACTAAGATTACGGTGATATTGAAATTCACTAGTGAACATTATGGGAGCCTCTTTATAGCAAAGGATATATCGATTAGTGTCGATGTTAAGGATGTAAATGATATCGATTGGTGAAATAACTATTATTAGTTTTAAGATCAAGTATTCTAACTAATGACCAATACAATTAGATGAAATTAGGAACAGGTTATCAAATTTCTCTTAATTAAATACACACTTGTGGCTCAAACATTCTGAACATATTTACCATTGTTCAATAACAAGAAGAGAAGAAAACAGTAGGAACATACGATGAACAATCTTGCATTTAAGTAGAAAATTTGTAAGTAACAGTAACAATGGTTTAATTTACAATTTATTTATTTCAACACATAAATATTGGTACAAGAGGGCACGAAATATATATGCTCCACACCATATTTGTGTGTGTGTGTGTGGGCTGTGATACTGCCCGGGTGCCCAGACCGAAACGGGTGGTTTTCTTAGGGGACCACTCCCCGAGCCTTTGACCTAAAGGTCTAACCCACAAGGCAATGGAACATCGTGAGGAGATGCATTCCCATGGTAGCCGGTGACCAAAGATTGGTTCATACACCGTTTGCTCCCGCAGGATACTGGAGCCCATGTGCACCATTGGTTTTGGATCCGGTTAAAGCGCCGGACATTCGCTTTTCGTCATCTCATTTTCGTAAACAACAGTAGTGCCACGAGAAGGCAGTGAGTAGGACTTCCCTGGCAGAGGCTGTATACGCGTGAACGCGTGAGAGCATTTCGAGAGGGAAGGTGGGCCCACCCCACTCTCGGCCATACCAAAAAAAGTATTGTTTGATTAATAATTCGTTACTTCTACTTAAGATCGACCAATTCTAAATTCTCAGTATTGAGTTGTGAAGATTGTTGAATATTTGTTCGAGGTCATGAATCGATCGTAGATTGGTTGAGGTTAAACATTAACACCATTGAATGATGGCTTAGTGGTCTAGAAGTTTAGCGTTCGTGCGCGAAACCCAAGGTCCTGGGTTCGAATCGCTCATGCGGGGTCATAGGTATGCACTACTGAGGAGTCTCATACTAGGATGAAACGTCTCTCCAGAACTTCCAGATTTCCAGTGATGTTCTAATATTGATCAACTCACGATCTCAATGAATAATTCTAAATTGTCATACACGAAATCTTTGATCTCTGCAAGGATAGATCAAGATTTCCTGTTGATAATTGTACATAACATATAGTGTCATGTTTAGCCTTTATAAGTAAATTTCAGATTGATAATATACATTGATGCATTACATATTGACAAAAACAACTATGAATATTTCATGAATGCAATTTATGAACTGATATTAGAGATCAATAAAGTTTCAATGATAAACAAGATTCTGAAATCATTTCCTTACATGTAAGTGGACTGTATTCAATCAACGTGCCAGATTTTACAACAGTTGATGGAATCTTTATAACAGTGAAATATTCCCCATTAGTTTCATAATATACTTAAAATAAAAAAGATAATAGAGTAATTAAAATTAGCAAGTGAATTAACAATTCTCATAAAAGTAAATCAGATTACACTATTATAAAGAAAGTCGGTAGGATAGTGGGTAAGAACAAAAGAAGTAAATTCATAATCTGAAAATGAAATAATCTCTCGCTGCGGTTTGATGGCATCAAGGTGGTTCATATAATTGAGCAATATCTTCGGCGATAATACTTTACGCAATGGTAGGAGAAAACCCGATCTTAAGAGAAGAATATGTCATATAACTCATGGATTTCTACATACAATTGAATAGAGTAATACGGTTTTTTTTAATCATATTTTTCTTTACCGAACGTCTAGTAAATGAATTGCAAATAGTAATAATGTTTTATTTCAAAACTAAAAAAAGGTTCTAACATAAAATACTTTCATAGGGGGTTTTGTGGATATCATAGTAATTTATTAGTTGAGATCATGAGTCAGTTGAAGTTAGACCACCATGGAATACCTGAAAACACTTGACGGCCGTTCTGTTCCACTGTGGGACTCTTCAACAGTGAGCATCCACGATTCCGCCTCACGAGACTCGAACACAGAACCTGATAGTCTTGAGCGCGAGCTCTTAAAGACTAGACCACTGAGCCAGCATCCAACGTTGTTAATGTCTAACTTCAACCAATTCACGAAATTGCGCCGCCGAACGGCCGCCCAGTGCCTCTAGGTTTTTCATGGTGGTCTAGCCTCAATTGACTCATGATCCCAAATATTGAAACTACAGTAATATCCACAAAACCCCTTCTGATAATAATCAAAACTTATGTTCATTAGTGACGGTCTCCAAGGGTTATTTCCTGGAGTTCTAGTGAGAAGCAGTGATCAATAGAGTTCAACCAGGTCTATTGTGAGATAGTAACCAAATGAAGACAATGGTGGATATGCCTCTCAATTTCGTGGGTTAGCTGAAGTTAGACATTAACACCGTTGGATTCCGGCTCAATGATCTAGTGGTTAAGCGCTCGCGCACAAGGCCGATAGGTCCTGTATCTGAATCTCGTGAGGTGGGATCGTGGATGCGCAATGCCGAGGAATCCCACGTTCAGTGTTTCCAGGTTTTTCATGGTGGTTTAGCTTCAAGTGACTCATGGTCTAAACTATTAAAATAAATTACTGTGACATTCTAATGCCTAGTCATACCATCATTAGATCAGATAAAAGATAAGTTGAATGTGAATGAGATAAACTGGAGCTGAAGGACTACATATTTGAACAAATAAAACTTGAACAATGATAAATTAATAAAAGTTGACATACCTTCGTTGTTTATTTCTGTAAACTTGCCAGCTCGAAGCATTAAACCGTCCACCTTGTTTTCAAGTGCATTAGGAATCTATAAAGCAGTGAGATCTTAGATTTAAGATTTGTCATTTAAAAGGAAAATACATAGTTGAAAAATTGTTACCGAAACCGCAATTATGCAAAATATATACCGTATATGATAGAGGTTACTATTTTTGGTCTTTAGCAACTTAGAACATGGTAGAGTCTGGATTCCTAGCCCTATGTTCTTCTATTTGATATGTATATGTTTATAAATTGAGTAATAAAACACTGTAGGGCCAGTGAAATATCATTGAGCCCCGGCCAAATCATCCGGCAGTTGGGTCACTGAATATCGATGCTTGTCAAGGTCATGAACAACCAACGCTCATCAGTTAATCGTATGCCATGAACTGGTGTATGCGGTGGTGGTCTCGCTCTCTTCTCTGTACTCATTCTTACTGATACATTTTCATAATAAAGTCCTTTGTGTTATACGGTCTTCGAAGTAGCCATAGTACTTTGATAAGTTGAAGGGGTAATCCACGTTAGATGCTAACAGCAAGGTGTGACTTAAACGTTAGCTGGTTTGTCGTACCATTCCCGTCTAACTCGAGTAGATCTCCAATCATTCGACATAGACCATCCACGTTAGTGATCTAAAACACTAAACTATCAATTGGATTATCCATGTAGTTTTAATTAAGATATATTCTGTCCCTTACTTCGGATTTCTCGGAGTTGTTTGCAGGAATTAAGTAGTTTACTTATAATTTCCAGTGACAAATAAATCATAAACACATCATTTGATTTGTTAAACTGGGTAAGTGCTTTACTCTACAAAATCCGATTCTAAGAGTGATACACAAGCTTCCTATATATGTGAGCACAACCGGCTACCCCAGTAAGAAAGAAGCTTTATGGACTAAAGATGAATTTAGGGTTATATATGTATATATAAAATTTGCCTTGGAAACACAATCAGACAACAAACTATCATTCTTGGATGTATTCATCACCAGGACCAACATAGGAAAACCTAAGACTCAAGTTTATCAGAAACTAACACTGATTAAATACTCGAATACATTAGCAACAACCCAATGACCCACAAATTTAGTCGTATATAAACTCGGTTTAGAAGAGGGGAAACGTATTACCGAACCTCCATTGTACGGAAAACCAAAAGGAAGCACCTGATGGATATATTTTAGAAAGATCTATACTACAAAACATTATCAAAAAATGTCTATCAAAGTGATCACTAGAAACGAATTAATTACAAAATTAACCAAACAGATGATTCTGCCTGATATGAAAAAGTATTCGAGACCACAAACGGATTATTAATGCCTGGAGCCCCTCTAGGGCTACTGCCAGGGTCCTAAGCCCGGGTGAAGAAGGAGGGTTGGGTATGAGGTTAGTGACCTCGTCCTGCAGAAAACTAACTCTCTAAAAAAACGCTAAACAGAAAAAAAACTTGGACTATTTAAACTCTGCCCTGGGAGTAACCATTGATTAAGGTACATGGAATGCTCATACAACGTGGGAGACCGGGCGAGTCTTCCAAATTGTTGCAGAAATGAGGAGATACAACCTAGGGGTGCTTGGAATCAGCGAAATATATTGGATGTAGGCTGGACAACAAAGACTAGGTGTAGTGCACAAACCCGAAAAATCTTATGATCAATATCATCCAGTTTAAAAGACACAATAACAAACAGAGACAAACCAAATTAATTGTAGTAACTGTGAGAAGCACTAGGTAAAATGAGGCGGCTCTCTGCTCCGTTCATGCCTTTATGAATATCAGCTAGAGGTAAAATGTCACGAAATAACTCCTCTCACTTCAGTACATTCCGACAACTTTTGAAATTATTTCGATTAAGAAAGATTCAAAATGGTGAAGAGAGGAAATACAAATAGTCTCATGAACTTAACATTCGACCGATGTTTATTTCGTCCACTATATCAGTTAAACAACTCAAAATGTTTGCTTTAAAGCAATTTAATAGGGAAATATCAGAATGGGATTTGTGGTTATTATAGTAATTTTAATAGTTTTAATAATTTTAATAGCTCTCGTGCATGAGACTGATAGGTCCTGGGTTCGATTCTCATGAAGCGGGATCGTGGATGCGCACTGCTGAGGAGTGCCACAGTAGGACGAAATGGCCATCCAGTGCTTCCAGGTTTTCCATGGTAGTCTAGCTTCAATTGATTCATGATCTCAACTCTTAAAATTAATCATTAAATGTTTTTAGTATTGGTATGCAATGATAAGCAAGAATCATCTGTCGTATAATTTATGCTTATAATACACAAATGTTTGATTAATTTAAGCAAATCAAGTTAAGTATTTCCATTTTATTATTTAGCTTACCTTTTTATAATAGATTGATATGTTGCCGTTGGGATATAAAACACAAACCACTTGGACTGAAGATTTGAGAATAGATTATTTAAAAAAAGCTCATCGAATATAAATAAACTAATCAATTTTTGGATGAAAAAGATAAATAGCGGCTAGTAATAGAATTCAGTATATGTGTTTCGTCCTATTTGAGACTCATCAGCTGGATGTACCTGCTAATCATCATTCATCTTTGTTTATAATACTTGTACTTTTTTACTTACGCCTGTTACTCCTCGTGAAGGAGCATGGGCCGCTCACCAGCATTCTCCATCCAACCCTGTCCTGGGCAATACTTTCCAGTTGTTATTCATCCTTTTCATATGTGATTCGATTACCCGACGTAATGTGTTCTTTCGCCTTCTTCTTTTCTGCTTCCCTTCATGATTCCAAGTTAGCGCTTGCCTCGAGATGCAGTTTGACGATTTGCGTAGTGTATGTCCCATCCATTTTAATCGTCTTTTCCTAATTTCCTCTTCAGCTGAAGCTGGTTTGTTCTCTCCCACAAAAGGCTGTTGCTGATGGTATCCGACCAACGGATGTTGAGTATCTTGCGTAGACAACTATTTATAAATACTTGTACCTTCTTGATGGTGGTTGTTGTAATTCTCCAAGTTTCAACTCCGCCTGTAGCTCTTCTAGAGTTACTGCCGGTCCCAAGCCCGGGTAAAGGAGGAGGACTGGGCATGGGATTAGCGATCTCATCCCGTAGAAATCTAACTCGTTATAAAAACGTTAACCATAATAATTGTAACTTAAGTCAATATCGTGACAATTCGTATAGGATGCATATATACCAATAAGAGACTGGTCAATTGCAGTCCTAAACATCAATGAGAAGATTCAAACAAACAATACAAACTAGTATCAAATATAGTAGTAATATATTGAACTTACCATGATCCTCGATATTTTTCTCATTGTTAGAATGTTCACCTGAATAAGACCATTGGATTGCCAGATATTCATCTGTAAATTATGAATAAGTTAATGTAGAATTGATAATTAGACTAATTGTAATAACCATCGATTCTGAAAAAAGATTATGATTATGATTTCCACAAAATGTAAGATCTCTTGATTGATTCAGCCTTCTGTTTTCTCATAATCTTTTCAACTATTATTGTCATTATTATTAATGTTTGTATCGTGATTATTATGATTGTTTTACGATACTTTCCTAATCATGACTATCACTTTCACCATTCTGTTCATCAATGTGTAATCACAATATAGAAAGTGATTATAATTGTTTTTTTGACTAGTAAATTAAATGATTTTAGATCGAGATTATGAACTGATTGATGTTAGACCATCACTGAAAACCTGTAAGCATTGGACGGTCATTCCATCCTGTTGTGGGACTCCTCAGAAGTGTACATTAACAATCCCACTCGTGAGATTTGAAATCGAGGCCTTCTGTCTTTTGCGCGAACGCTTAAACTCTAGATCATTAAGCCGGCGTTCAATGGTGTTAATGTCTAACCTCAACCAATCCACGAAATTGTTCGATCATCTTCCATTGTACTGAGATAGATACCTATCTCTAACTGACATAGATTAGTCCCACTGGTCACGAATTCTCACTGGAACTCTGAGAATCATCTCACTAAGCTAGTCATTAGTGAGCACATGGTAATTATGCATGTTTCTTTGCAAAACATTTTATGTATTTACACAAATCAGTGGGAAATTAAATGTAGTGAATTTGATTCATTGCATACTAATTATTGTTCTTCCTTTATTAAATGACATTTTTTAAATGTAATTATTACTTATAGTACATTTATGCATTTTACTTACTTACGCCTGTTACCCCTCGTGGAGGAGTAAGGCCGTCCACCAGCACTATCCATCCAAATTTGCCCATGGACAATCACTTCCAGGTGTTTCCAGTTCCTATTCATCCTTCTCATGTCTGCTTCCAATTCCCGACGTGGTGTGTTCTTCGGCCTTCCTGTTTTCTGTTTCCCTTCAGGATTCCAAGTTAGGGCATATCTCGTGATGTAGTTTGATAATTTCCGTAATGTATGTCCTATCCACTTCCAACGTCTTTTCTTAATTTCCTCTTCAGATGGAAGTTGGTTTGTTCTCTCTCACAGAAGGCTGTTGCTGATGGTATTCAGTCAACGGATACTGAGTATCTTGTGTAGACAGTTGTCTAGAAGTACTTGTACTGTTTTGATGATGGTTGTGGTAGTTCTGCCCGTTTTCGCTCCGTATAGTAGGACTGTGTTGACGTTCGTATTAAAGATTGTCACTTTGATATTGATCTACAGTTGTTTTGAGTTCCATACGTTCTTCGAGTGTAGGAATATGGTTTTTGTTTAACCAATCCTCGCATTTACGTCTTTATCCGATTTGCCTTGTTTATCGATGATGCTTCCCAGGTACGTAAAAGGTTCCACATCTTCCAGAGCTTCTCCAACAAGTGTGATTGAGTTGATGTTTTCAGTTTTGTATTTAAGAATCTTGCTCTTTCTTTTGTGTATGTTGAGGCCTACTGATTCAGAGTTTGCTACTAGATTAGTTGTCTTCATCTGCATTTTTTCGTGTGTATCCAATACAATTTCAACAAATTATTTAAACATATCACGTACATAGAAGTGAATAAACTAGTACCAATAATATCTCAATGAGTAGAAATATTGTATTACTGACGTTCTATGACTTAATGTAAACCACAAAGAAATGAAAACATCACTTACAAGAACTATTCCTAATGATCTAAGTTTAGTTTATAATCGTTCAAACAAAACTCTTAGCACTCATGAAATCACTTTACTAGAAAGAGCACTAAACTTTAATGTACATTGAAAGCATGTCAATACTCTAGAAATCGTGACAATTCTAGAACCAGTACACAAAAAACTTCTAAACAAGCAATTACATATAATACGTCAAAAAAAAACTTCTCACATATCGACAAAACAAATATCCCTCCCACCTAATGTAAAGCTTTGAGCTCATTGGAGAAACATAGAACGATTGTCATGAGCCTGACATTCCTTCAAGGCTCATAAAGGACTGCACAAATACTCTAACATATGCTTTATCTAGATATCTAAGCAACATACTGAAGTCGCTTCAACACAGCCTAATCAATATCGTAAAAGATTCATGCGAATTCAAGTCAAAGACCTCGAACTTATCCATCAACAAGGACGAAACAATAGTAAGCTATGATGTTATCTTTATACACTAGCATTCCAATTTATAGATGTCTAGACTTCGTTAATAGTTTACTAGAGAATGGCAAAACTCTATTTCGCAGATGTTCATTAGGTATTAGTTCAATCATGAATTCCCTCAAGCTATGCTTGAATTCAACACTTTTCACTTTCAAGGGGACGAATGAACTAACCATGGAGTCTCCAGTATCTCTGATTATTGCAAATTTAATTACGTTTCATACTGAGTTGCTTATTTTTGCCAGCACCATCAAATCAAGCATCTGGCTCAGATATGTAGATGACACATTTGCTATTATAAAAAAGATTTCTTAAAAATTCCTTCAAACACGTAGACACGCTCTCAGAACACATCAAAAATCCACTTTCGATAAAGTATATGAACATAGTGAACTACCATTATTAAAATGTTTGCTTGAAAGGAATCGTAATGAAAGTCTAGATCTAGCCATATACCGAAAACCGATACATTCCAATCGGTATAGTGATTTTAACTCTGTATATCCATTCAATGAGAAAATTTCCTTAACCCTGAGTTTGTTCAGAGGAGTAACGAATATCACTATTTCAGAAGAAGACGAGCTAAAAGAAAATGATCATGTAATAAACATCCTCGATTTAATAATTTTCTTAAGAATATTATTAAAAGCATATTTAAACAAAACTATCCTTCTTTAAGTAACAATCCTAGTGAAAGATTTTAGGTTACCTTACCACCAAGTTACGACAAAGGAAATATGACGGATATTAAAAGCGAACAAAATTAAAGCTCTCTATATGATGTCTAACACTTGCAGAAACACTTTAGTTAGAATTAAAGATAATATCCCGTTCACTTTCACACAGAATTGTGTTTAGAAATTAGATTGTGTCGATTGTGATGAGTTCTGTACTGGAAAGTCTTCTCGTAAGATCTTGACTTGTGTCAAGGGACATATAAGTTACACAAAAAGACCCTCTAATAATCCTGTAGAATTGGAAAATTTACAAGTTAAATCAGCAATAACAGTACGTGCTATTTTCAATCATCACTAAATTGATATTAGAGAAATTTCTAAATAATTCAGAAAGGCTTTTCCAACTGTCAAGAGAGGCAAGTAGCTGAAGTATTTTACATGATATTAAATCCCTCTGCCCTCAATAAGAAAGAAGGTCTAAATATTCATCCAACCTGGACTGTTTTTCCAAACAACTATATATGATTAATATCAGATGTGTTTTGTAGATATTATACTAATTTCGATGACTAAGATCATGAATCCGTTGAAGCTAGACCACCATGGAAAACCTCGAAGCACTAGACAATGGTGGATATGTCACTCAATTTCATGGACTAGTTGAAGTTAGAAATTAACACCGTTGAATGCCGGCTCAGTGATTTAGTGGTTAAGTGCTCACGCGCGCAACCAGTAGGTCCTGAGTTCGAATCTCGCAGGGGGGCGAGGTCGTGAATGCGCACTGCTGAGGAGTCCCACAATAGGACGAAACGACCGTCCAGTGTTTTCAGGTTTTCCATGGTAGTCTAGCTTCAACTGACTCATGATCTTAACCATTGAAATAACTCTATATGACCTTACTTATTTTTCACACAATATACACATCTAATTTTAACTGCACTACTTGATTTTACAAGTACAAGCATTTTTTATGACCTCATTCTGAAATATAAATTAATACAATGACAGGTCATAGAAAGTCACCTTGACCAAGAATACCTTGAAAATTGACATATTCCAATAGATTATGATTTCGAATGTATTAAAGATATATTTTGAAATGTTTCCTTTGTACTATTTGAACTCGTGTTTATTTAATGTCGGTTATTTTATTTACTCTGAAGAAGTGACTTATATTAAGTCACGAAACGCCAGAAATACAATTTTCAGTATTCATTGGGATATAACAACAGACATATTTCCCATTAACTTTCTACTCAATGTTCAATTTATTAGGAACTAACCAATCCAACCTTGGCAATGACTGTCAATAGTACATTTATAAATTTTATGATCACTGAGAGGTGAAAAATACTTGTGTAGAATAACATCATTGATCGGTCGTTTTATTCAACTATAGATGTACAGAACTGTGAGAATTTATTTGTGAACGTTTTTGTTTACTTGTTGTTTGACTGTCGGGATTAAATCTGATCAATCTCAGTTAGATGTACTGAAAGAAAATCCTGATATTGTCTGTGGTAGTGAATTTTGACTTGTGACTAGTAAGGTAGTTCAGGGCATACTTTAAGTTCTAATTTAGGTTTATTAGTGCTGATGATGTCGTTCAGAATAACGATGAAATCTACACGATCAAATCATTCAGCTTAAAGAATAAAACTCTATCAAAATCATCCTTACTTACTTACGCCTGTTACTCCTCATGAAGGAGCATAGGCCGCCCACCAGTATTCTCCATCCAACCCTGTCCTGGTTAGCGTATTTTTTGAGCGAGTTAGTTTTCTACGGGATGGGGTCGCTAACTCCATACCCAACTCTCCTCCTTTACCCGGGCTTGGGACCGGCAGTAACTCGAGAAGAGCTACCACCTGAGCTATAAATCTTCTCTATCATCTCAATTGTAATCAATTTTCGAATCTTTCAAATCCTAACTTTCAACACTTACCATTGTTTATTGTTTTTATTGTACTCCCAACTGGTATTCCATTGAAAGCTTTAATCATTTCCATCTGATGCATATTCATCCAATTACATCCTAGACGTATAATGGATTTTAAAAAAAATAATAAATAACCAATAATTGACAAATGGTAGTAAATTAGTAGTATATAAGAATTTGGTAAGTAAACTTTTAAATATTCAGAATATTTCTTTTTCTTTATCGATTTAACAATTGCATCACAAGGCAAGCCCTCACTTGGAATCATCGAGGCCAAAGGAGAATAGGAAGACCAAAAGAACACATGATGCCGAGAGATGAAGATAGACATGAGAAGGATGAACAATAATTGGAGTGGGTTGGAGAATACTGGTCGGCAGCATACGCTCCATTAGGGGTAACAGGCATAAGTAAGTAACTAAATTATATGCATATTCATATTCCTTTTATCATCAACTCCCATTTGACCTATTGACTACTGTTGTATGATTTACCATTCTTAATTTATGGCCAATGGATTAGTTTCAGTCTCCCATACTCACAGCAATTTTGGGTTTGATTTTGTATAACTGTTATTTTTTATTTTATGATATGATGCGGTTTGGTCTGCTGTATGTAAACTACGTATATCTGAAATAGATTATTCAGACAGTGGATGAAGATATTGTGTTCTAAACTCAACGAGAAGGGTTTGGCGACATGCTACAATATTAAGGACCAATAAGGATTCAGAATTGATTCCAAGCTACTGGTGCTGGTTAACGTGTCATTGGTTAAGCACATGGACAAGGTTATGGAAGTCGATATTGTGATTGATGATTTTGTTACGTGACAATCGACAGTGGCATAAGTCATAATAAATACCATTCACATTTTGATTTTAACATTATATAGCATGTAAAGTTTGTTTGCGTTCTGTGAAATTCAGAAACTAGGAAGATTCGTCATACAAGAAAAACTAAAATGTTGGTCAAGGTTGTATAACTTGAATTAGTTCATTGTCTCATTAATTAATCACTGAAACCTATCTCTCTGAAATCAAGTGATAAAATAACAGAAGAAAAAAGGCGGAAATTATCTGCAAAATACATCGCTCCATCTGACTTGATATCCTCTTCAGCTTTGTACGCGTGACCATACACTAACTTTCAAATGCTACGATATATCCTACCTAATATCAATGCACGCAAACAATTATGATCACACCTTCGATTAGGAAAATATCAAAACCTTGGACGAAGTGAACCCTAAGAAGATCGGAGAAATTTTTAAGCTTTACATTCAGGTCAATCAACTGTAAATAAGCATGTCGAAATCCACAGCATCTATCAATTAATTAGATACATCATGAACAACTATAAGATCAAAAGTGATAATATTCAAAATAAATATGACGAGACATGGGTCAACAACAGACAATCAATATCAAGTTCAACAGAACAAACTGTCAGTCGCATGTGAAGAAATTCGAATAGCTCACTACTATCTGAAGTCTGCGCTATTGATATTGTTTAAAACCACAATAAAAGCTTCAGATCCGAGAATGAAATCCCACCAAAAATCTCACTTCTCCATAGACACACAACAGTCAATAAATGATCTGAAAACGATTACTAACCAAATCTTCATAAAAAACAGATTTACTTCAAAATGACAAAGAGTATAGGTATACCATAAAATATGCAAAATAAAGTATTGTCTATGAATTTGGTGTTCATCTTGTTGTGCTAATGAGATGTGGCAACTTGGGTCGATGCATATATGTGTCTGGTCTTACATTGTAGCTGACTGACTCATTGTCGCAAGGTCAAATGTATCAAATTGCATCAATAATTAATACTGAGAACGATTTGCTGAAAATTAATTCGATGCCGACTGTTGTATTCCTAAGACCATCAAATTTAACTATAGAAGACCAACCAAATATGATTAATTCTGAGTGGTATTCTCAGTTAGATTATGGATATATGTTATGTTACGTCATTTCTTACAAGAACTATAGCCTCGCACTCTTTAACATAACTCTATCTGAAGCCCTTCTAAAGTTACTGCCGGTCTCAAGCCCAGATAAAGGAGGATGCTTGGGCTTGAGGTTAGTGACCCCATCTCTTTAAAAACATCCTTCCTAAAGAATCACTAATTTCAAAAATCATCTGAAGCATTTAAACTTCCATGACAGTTGAGGGGACTTCATTTAGAAGGATTATGACATCTCATAGTGAAAGCCTAGATTCTTCGAAAATCTCACAAACTTCATCGTTCTCCCATTCCTGTTACTATTACAATTACTCTGTGTTTCCATTTTTTTAATCGCTAATTCGATCTTATGAACCTTCTGCTACTAGGCATTCCACTTTAGATTGATGCTACATACTACTTATATCTGTCGACATACGTAGAATACACCAAAATATAACCTGGTGGTGCTCGAACTACATGAAACCCGTCGGACAGAGAAAAATAGATTCAAGAGGGCTGTTATTGTGTTACGGTCATGAATTAGAGTGGCCGTCAGAAAAATCAGTAATGAAAAGACAGAAGGACTAGACAGTATACCATTCGAGGCACTCGAGTCAGATATTGAGGCGAATGCTAAAATATCCTATGACATCCACACAAACATCCGTGAGAAACAACAAGTATCAGGAGACTAAAAAGACAACCACCTCATGAAGATACTAAAGAGAGTGGATCTCATTGAGTGTAAGAGGTACAGAGAAGTTAATAGTCAATATTTGGAAGTATTGCTCAACTAAATGAAAGACTCAACAGACATCAAACATTGAGATTAACAATTTGATGGTCGTACGAATCGATCATGTATCGACCTAATTAAGACACTGTGGTTGGTTCGATATGGATATGAGAATTTTGTGGTATATTCTTCGACACTGTAGAGTACCCGAGCAGATCGTCACAGTCATACGGAACTCTTACAACGGATTGTACTTAACATCCGATCATGGATAGCAGTCCACACGTGGACTTCTAGTAAAGACTGATGTCAAAAAAGGCCGAACACTCTTTGTTTTCCTTTTCTGATTTTTGATTGGGTTATGAAGAGTTGTACACCTTAGGAGAAGCATGCACTTTGATGGGTACCTCGAACACTGATCGATAATTTGAGCTTCGTAGACAAATTGGTCCTGCTATTGGATATACGGCAACAAACACAAGTGAAGACAGACAATGTTGAGGAGATCTCCGAAGCAACAGACAACAGCGTTTACGAGGGGAAAAAGGTGAAATACTCAAGTACATCACAATCAGAACCAACCAAATCTCACTTGATGGAGAATCACTGGATCTGCTGAATGATGTTACATAACTGTTCAGTATTATTCATAAACAGGTGGGTCTGATACAGATATGAATGTAGGGATTGGAGAAGCAAGGACAACACTCTTACAAGTGAAGAACGTCTGGAACTCAAAACAATTGTCAGGCATTACTCGAACCAGAATTTCCGGCACTAATGTTAAGAGAGTCCTGTAGTACGAAGTTGAAACTTGGACAACTACTACAATCATCATCAAAGAAGTACAGGCATCTATAATCATAGATCTATATAGGATACTCCAGATCTATTGTCTAAACCCCATCAACAACAACCTACCATTGCAGAGAATAAATCAGCTTATATTTGGGTTGGAGACCAGGAAAAGATGATTGAGATGGATCAGACGCACTCTACAGAAACCATTAAACTGCATCAAAACGTGATCTCCAACTTTTTATTCTCAGGGCTAAAATAAGTTGGACAGATCGAGGAACACTTTGCACCAGGTATTAGAGGCAGATATCAAAAGAGTAGAGTCCAGGATATTTAATGGGAGATCCCTGTTTGGTGGCCTAAGCCCCACAAGGAGTAAAAAGCGTAATTAAGTAAGTAATCAATAAAAATAATTCTCTAGCTAGTTGTTAAGTTATCAATAACATTGCAAAGAAAGGAATATTGTTAGTATGAAGTTCACATTTCTATTTCATCTAGGAAACTGTAGATCATCAGGGTAGATGATCTATGTCAAATGATTGGGTGCCCACTAGAGTTAGACGAGGACGGTATGGCGAACCAGCTAACATCGAAGTCATACTTCGCGGTCAGCACCTTACATGGATTACCCCATCAACGTATCAAGGTACTACAGATGCTGTACAACACAAAGGACGTTGTTACAGAAATATATTAGTTCAAGTAGATACAAGCGAAAGTAAGACCACAGCCGCCTTTACGAGGGATAGATGATCTGTTCGATATTCAGTGACCCAACTGTCAAATGATTTGGATAGGGCTCAGTTAGGTATTACTAGCTCTACAAAATAATATTTAAGTCAAGTATTCTGTATAAAATTCATATTAATTACGAAGACTTTTTCTAACAGATACGAAAATATACTGTCCTATGACTATGAATTATCGATATTATATCTATCGTGTCGGGTAGAAACAGATGTCTACCTCAGTACAATGGAAGATGGTCGCGCAATTTCGTGGATTGGTCGAGGTTAGACATTAACACCATTGGATGCCGGCTCAGTGGTCTAGTTTGTCAGGCGCCCGGCGCGAGGCTGATAGGTCCTGGGTTCGAATATCGTGGAATGCGGTGTTACGGATGAGCACCGCTGAGGAGTTCCATACTAGGACGAAACGGCCGTCCAGTGCTTCCAGGTTTTCCATGGTGGTCTAGCTTCAGTTGACTCATGATTTCAATCGAAAACTTGATCTAATTAATTCGGTGAGACTATAATTTATGGTCGACATTTGAGAGACGCTAAAATGACCTTGAGAGTGTTCACCCAATAACTAGGACCAAATGAGAGTTAGAATTAGAATTAGAATTATGATTAACAGTTGATGATTAAGGTTAGAAATTAGATTTAAGGTTTTCATCATGAACTGACATCATTTACAATGCCAAAACTTTATTTAGCCAAATGAATGAGTGAATTTTGCACCAAAATCCAAGACCTAGTTCATACATAAATTATATAGTCTTGTCATGAATTCAATTAGTCAGACTTACCATCATCAACTATAGATTCTTTATAAGATCTAATTATTCTATCTTTTTCTGATAAATTAGATTCAGTCGACAGGTGTATGATACCTAATAATCAAAAAATATTATTAACAATTAAATGATTTGGATTCATCAATAGAATAGTTAAAGTGTATACAACTAGGTAGACCAACAACAACAACAACAACAACAACAAAGAAATAGTGTACAGAAACGTATCAAGATAAACTTGAAAATACTAGAAAATTATTCAGTAGTATTTATGATCATCGAAAAAAAATTGATTATGTTCTTTTTAAAGTAAATACAAGTGTGATGGTGAAGAAGATTTGTAGTTCAGATAGAGGTTTCTTTGATGGAATTTTGTTCTCTGAACTGGATGGTTTTGGTCATGGAGCTTTCATCATTCTTCTGAATGACATCATCAGTACAAACTTCTATCTGAAAGCTTCATGATCAAACCATCCAACTCAGAGAACAAAACTTTATCTAAATACAATTGTATTAATCATTAATTTAGATATAACTTGATATAAAGATTTTTTGTCAAAGCTTGTCAGACTTAAAGTCCTTCAAACGGCTGAAGCAGTAACCATCCGAATGAAGAAACCGTAGCTATGCGTACAAAAGAAATATCTTCAAACACTTCTACTCCTCTGACCAACTTCAAGACCAATTAATCAATAGTAATCCTAGCGATTGAATGACCTAATTTGACCATTGTACTTACGACCTTTCGTAGTCAAGTGTAGTTGTCTCTGTTATCTTTATTCACAAATCTTTGTAATGTTATTAGTATTATTATTGATGGTTAAACATTATCACTAATCCTCCCAATACATGATTCATTCACTTCGCACTCATCCCACTTTATTATGTCTTCCAGTAACTATTTGATCGAATTGTAATTGCACTATTATTTCTCTCATCCTATCTGATCCATATTTATTCAGATCATGGATCTTAACAATTTTAATTGACATAAATGCAGATTCATGTTAACATTCCATTTGAGTCATATCAACATGAACAATTTTATGCTGAAGAGTCATACAATAAGACGAAACGGCCATTCAGTGCTCCCATGCTTTCAATGGTAGTCTAACTTCAACTATTGACATTATTCTATTTTGCCTAACAATCTTACAGTTCACATGCTTAAACTTAAAACGATGCGCTTTGCTTTAAACTTGACCAATTTTCGGATCATTAAATTGAATATGTTGAATTGTAGAACTTGAAGAGAATTGATCGAAAAGAATAATCTCCACTTATAGATTAATCTTTTGAAGATAATAGAGGATATTTAAACAATTAATTAGTTAATTAATTAATTAATTATTATCATTATTATTCAATTACCATTATTCAATATTTCGACAGATGTAAAAGGTAATCCATAATAGAAGATTTGAAATTGAGGCTTTATAATCTAAATAATTAATTTTTAAAAAGGGAAAAATATAATCAATCAATCAATCAATCAATCGATCGATCAATCAATCAGTCAATTAATTAATTAATTAATTACCAAAGTTTCTTGTTCATGAATTGTTGTTGCCATGGCATTATCAAATATAATTGGAGTAAATTGATTCATTTTAATTAATTCTAAATAATAATAACGATTAGACTATTGAATATATATAAGAAATTAATTTACAAAACTTACATAATTCATTGATTGATTTGAAAAAATCAATTTTTCATGTATCATAGTAACATGAATTTTATTGATTAATTGATTTGTTATAGAATTGAGAAATATCATAGAAATAAACCATATTGATTGGATTAAATTGAACATTAGTCTCTATAAAATATTTTTTTTAAAAAAAGAATTGATTAAAACAACATTAAGTGAATTTAAACTTCATTCCAAAGAAACAAGTAAATGGCTATCAGGATTCAGTAGCTAAGTGGATAACGTGATGGATTTTGAAACGAAGGATATTGGATTCGAGTCTTAGAGTGATCATCAACTCGAAGATGTAGATACATCCAGTTGACGAGTCCTAAAATAGGATGAAACACGTGTTAAACTTGGATTTTACTGGTAGCCACTATCTAACTTTGTTTAAAAGGGATAGATATTACATATTAGCTATATATCATCATTATTTGAATAGTTAAGATTATTATGAATCAATTGAAGCTAGATCATTATGAAAAACCTAGAAGTACTGAATAGCTATTTCATTCTAGTAAAGAACTTCATAATTTTAACTTTAATTGATTTATGATTTCAACTTATTTATTTATTTATTACACATAAATATTGGTACAAAAGGGCACCAAATATATATGTACCACACAAAACAATGAGAATTTAAAGAGAAGGAAAAAGAAAAAAGGTAAGGAGCTTAAAAAAAAGAGAACAATAACGAAGAGATTGATGTAGGGTAGTGTAATAACAATAGTAATAATGGGGGAAACGGAAAGACACAACCAGAAGAAATCTTTCAGTTAAGGAAGAAACAACCATTTTTTTAATGAGGAAAGTAAAAGAAGGTTACAACAGGATCACCACTAGCTTCTAGTCTGAGCCATATCTGATAACATCTCTAACCCTTGTGTTGCACCATCTCTCGGACCTCAGTCAGCGAGGAAGTCGTGAAGGACCAACACAAATTAACTATAATATCCATAATAATAATAATAATAATAATAATAATAATAATAATAATAATCCCTATTCTGATAATAGACATTATTACAAATTATAACACATACTTTGATTATTTTTGTGTATAAGAGAATGAATAAACGTGCCTAATATTAAATAACTATAGTTGCCAAGTATATATGGTTACTTGAATTGACCAATCAGAGAAAAAAAATTTTTTTCTAATTTTTGTAATTTTAAAAAATGACCTTTAAAAATAAAAAAATCGTTTTTTTTTAAAGAATTAACTGTAACATACCAATCACTATGAAGTATATTTACTTCATTGTATATTACATATTAGGTGTATATATACAGATTGTTGAAGATGAATATTAATGATCATCTACATTTTTGTTTGTTTTTTTGTTCATTAGAAACATTGAAGGTCAACTTAATCATAAGTTGATAGATTTTTTCTTTAATAATTAGTCTAATCAACACTTTTGTTTATTTGAACTTATTAACTGATTATTTATGATAGTGATATTTATCAATGATAAGTAAATCATTATAACAAAGAAAATATTATCATCAGTGAGGGGTTATTAGATGCTTACTAGTGACGGTCTCCAAGAGGTATTTTCTGGAATCCTAGTGAGAAGCCATGAACATTGAAGTTCAACCGAGTCTGTTGTGAGATAGTAACTCACTGACGACAATGGTGGACTGTGGTACAATTTCGTGGATTGGTTAAAGTTAGACATTAACACTATAGGATGCTTACCGGCTCAGTGGTCTAATGGTTGAGTGCTCGCGCACGAGACTGATAGATACTGAGTTTGAATCTTCTGAGGCGGAATGGTGGATGTGCACTGCTGAGGAGTCCCACAGTAGTCTAGATTTAGTTGACTCATGAATTCAACAATTAAAAGAATATATAATTTAAATATAACTAATTTTACAGTATTAGCTTATGTGAAATATAAGCTATAGAGTTCTTGAGAAGATTGTGAACATTATCCGGAACATATACGACGGACTACAGTGAAAAATTGTGTGCATGGGGGACAACCGATAGATGCATTCCAATTAAGGACCGAAGTCAGATAACACTATCTACTATCTTTGTTCCTCTTTCTTTTGTTGGTTGACTGGATTATAAAGATCTCGATATCGGAGGGAAAACATGGAATACAATGGACAGCTCGGAATCAATGAGACGATTTGGATTTGGTAGTTGACCTGGTCCTTCTATCTTTATTCTGTGTTGTATTTGAGGATCTTGGTTCATCTTTTGTGTATGACAAGGCCTACTGCTGAAGAGAAACATAATTTATCGCGTGTTAGCTCCGTACTTGTTGAGACCTTACTGCCGGAGACCGATATCCATGGGATAGGGCGAGGTGTGCATTTTTAGGATCTGCATCTTATAACCCCACCCCTCCTTGTGGGAAAGCGTCATCGCTGTTATGGTGGTTGTTTGAAGGAAACACATTACTGCTACCACACTTCTGTACAGTCAGTAGTACGACTTCGCCGTCGGACCTTGGGTTCCTTACTTTTAGTTTTACCGCTCTTCAACTACTCTGTCTGGCATGGTAGGATCTTGAGGAACTATTGTTGAAGCCAGTATAGCTCGATTGCTCCATCAAGATAGGCAAGCCCGACCACCACATCAAGGTAGCAACAATGATCGGACAGGTTAACTGACGTGGAATTCGAACTAGTGAGACCTCTTCTGATTTTTACGACAGCATTATTCAATATTGTAAACTTCGTTTACCGAACCAATGGGAAGCCCCTGAACCCACAAGGTGTTCTCTTAGATCAATATTCCGATTTATAAATGTGCCTACTTATATTGTAAATAGTAGGTGATTATGTTAAATTGATAGCTCACATCATGTCATGTGTTGGGTTGTATAAGTACGAAATTCCTGAAGAAAATTATCGTCGGTACTTTTTATTCGCAACTGCTGATCAAATGAATTCGACAACTCGTTTTCTTAGTGTTGTTAGTTTTTATGGGATCTACAAAACCAACAACGAAAATTTGTATTTGTATCAGGTAGTTGCATTGGATATTAATTTTGTGTTAATACCTGTTTGTACAGCCTTTGTAAGTCATGAAACATCTGCTTTGCTCTCACGACTTCTGTCTTTCTTCATGCGCTCAACTAACAATCAAGAGTTGATTGGTAATGTCACAGGTGATTCATCTATAATGGCTGCTACCATAACACAAGTATATCCAAACTCTCACCACATTTTCTGTCGTTTACACCTCAATCGCAATGCCATAAGCAGGGTAAGTTATTCATTGAATGACATTAAGCTTAAAATGTAATTTTAAGAAGCTGCTGTCTGAAACCATACAGCTATTCTTCCGTTTCATGTTCAGTAGAAAAGTCGATAGGTAAATAAAAATATTCTTACATTACAGTGTTTTGTAGTTTCCAAAGCTACCTTTCATTTATTGAAGCATCAGACGGGACATTTCACCGAAATATAAGAGATCACTTGTTGCTTAAGAAACACAAGTGGTCAAATGCGTTTTGACTGTCTGAGACACTCCTTGAACAAAATAATACGAACTTCGGATATTGATGCAGCAGAAACTTAATTCAAAAAAACACCCGTGCTGACATCTAAATTCAGTGTACCTCTTCGGGCTGGATATTGGATGGAAGTGTGAGTTCAGAAATACACAGATGAATGTTTTTACATTGTTCAGCTAAACAGTTGTGGGCTTTTATTTATTACATCAAAATTAAACTTTGGTATAACAGTCAGACGTATAATCGACCGAACCAATTATTAGTCACCGACTACAATGGGACTGCATCTCCTTACGTTGCTCTACTGCCTTGTGAATCTGACCTTTAGGTCGAAGGCTCTGGGTGTGTCTCCATAAGAAAATCACTTGCTTCGGTCTGGGCTCCCGGGCAGTATCGCAGCCCATTCACTAATCAAGTGACTTGTGTGGTGCATATGTATTCGGTGCCCCTTTGTACCAATGTTTGTGTTCAAATAAATAAATATTCACATATTATGAATATATACATGGAATTTGTTAGTGTCCGTCTAATATGTTTAACAAATAAAACGATCATTTGAAAAATGATTCCAGACTGTCGAATTCAGTAACATATGCGATGTCATTTCGAAATTACATTCAAAAATTAAAATAATGATTTGGTCAAACTGTACAATTACATAACATTTTGCTATTGACATTACGTAACCAAAACCTAACCGTACACTCCCCAAACAAAATAACTGATTCGCATTATTGCATACACAGAGAAGTTTTCCTATCTTAATTATATACTCCTCAACTACATAGAATGGACAATGTATAATTGAAAACAATTTTTACTTTTAATGGATTTGCAAAATTACACAACAACTAATCATTTAACTGTAGACTTTTGTCCTGAAGAATACAATATCGCGTTCATTATCGATGTAAGCTAGACCACCATGGAAAACCTGTAAGCCCTGTGGGACTCCTCGGCAGTGCGAATCCATGATCCCGCCCTGCGAGATTCGAACTCGGGACATATCGGTCTCGCGCTTAACCATTAGAGCACTAAATCAGCATCCAACGTTGTTAATGTCTAACTCCAACTAATCCACAAATTTGATCGTCACATCCACCATTGTCTTCAGTGAGTTACTATCTCACAACAGACCTAGTTGAACTCCACTGGTCACTTCTTAAAGCCTAAACTCTTATTCATTCAGCAATCTTAGAAGTTTAGCGTAATTAATCCATACTCTATTCATTATCTTATTAAAATGATTTATTCATATTTTTACACACATATATAACGATTACTACAAGTCTAAACTATGTGTTAAAATAACTCAGAAATACCACAATGAAAATTTGATTGCCCCCCAAGTTCAGTAATCACTATTATCTACTATTAAATATAGCCATCAGTTTTTTTCCTGGTTTACTTTTAATGATATGCATAATCTTTCTCTTGTCACGATATGTAAACAACTTCAGTTCCATTTCTACCTGATCGATAAAGAACTCGATACCTATTCACAGACAGGAGAATACAGTAGGGCACTCGAATAGAATTCGTGTCTACTTTCTTTGCATAAGTTAAAGTTTTATACTAAACGACAGAATTTTTTTTGCATTAAAATAAAATTCAAATATCAAAATGCAATTTTTCACATTCAGTCAAACTTACGTTATGCTACTTTGGTTTGAACTAATCAGATTACAATGATGCACAGTTTACAGTCAATGAACAAATTAGTCTAGGCAACAAAATGTTTGTTCATTATCATTTGAGCACACATTTTTAAAAAAAAACAAGTTAACCGATGAATTATTTCTAAATTTGTTTGATCGGGGGGGGGAGGGTAGGAATCACAACCACCATG